TATATATATATATTCCTGTGCAGCAGTTTATTGTATATGACACCTATTTAAATTTGCAATTGTGTAAAGTAGGCTATGAGCTACACAGTATATCGTTGCCATTGAAACTTGTGCAGGGCATTCAGTTAGCTCAAGTCATCCTAGTTCCTGTTTCCAGTAGCTAGGTCTAGCATTGACTTGCTCCTTCTCTCCCATTTCACACTGCATTGCATTATATTGCAGTAATGAAGTTAATATACATTCAACCCAGTAGTGAGCAGACTGGAGACATGTAATCGTCCACAGACATGCAGTTCTCTTATGTATTCTGTCGTTGGGAGCAGAGAGGAAACAAGTGGGGTTCATGTTTGCTAGGGCAGGAGATAGGAAAGTGTCCACTTGACATAAGACTAGACTTAAGGATTAATCCCTGTATCTGACCATTACTATACAAAGGCAGTGGCCACAACCACTTCCTCATTTGAAAGATAGGGGATATGAGGTGTTGGAACATCTGCTATTTGCGTCCAATATTGGCAAGTCTGTTCCTAAAGCTCGCTTTGTCGGGTTATGCTGCTATCATGAACCAGGGAGCCACCAACGGCACCAATTAGAGTGCCACACCAATATTGTGTAATCCAAGGTTTTTAGTAATTGATGTGGTACTTTTTTTTTTTAATCAGTTTTTATTGAAAAAGTTGTACAAAACTTTTTTTTTAAACTCCTTTCCCACCCCTCCCACCCTTTACTGCGGTCAAGCAATTTCATATAACTAGGTATTATTGGTAGAGCATATCCAAAAACTATTTTGCAAAGTCTGTGTTATAGGATCAGTTTAGTAAGTATTTATGTTATAACCTAAAATAAAAAAGTTAAACAGGCCGCAGCACAACCCAGACCTCTGTAGCGGAGATGGGGAGGGGAAATTCTCTACTTCTGGCCACTACTAAAAGCAAATGTCAAGGTAAACAAAAAAGATTCACACATGCAGTACATATTTTCAATAAATGCAAATTTGCCCATGTTTATCCCTTTAAAGACCCTTCATATACAGAAGAATCCCTGTTGATCTGTCAGAAATACACTCAACTATTCATTTCCTATTCTGGGCTGGCAACACACAGCATTTTGAGGACTGAGTGGTGTCAGCCCTGTGCATTATGTCAACCACTCCCACTGTCTGCACATCCACGGCATAGGGACTAATTGCTCTGAGCTTCTTACAGGATCAGCAGGTATTTTTGCACTTTTAAAAATGGATGCATTTAAGGATATAATTAACTGACCAAAAAAGGACATATAAGTGAAGTTCATTGTTACGGCTTGCATACACTTTAAATCTGCAGCTAATCATTTCTATTGCCAGGAGGGACCACAAATATATTTAGGATATAACCACTGCTTGAGCTTGTGAAATGGTAACAGCTAGCCAAAGAGTTATTACTGCTATAGATAGGGAAGGACAATTGCTTTCTTGAAGTAATGACCACCGCATTAACACGGGTACACCTAGGGAATACTGCCACTAAACCCTGGAAAATGTCCAACTCATTAACTCTACTACAGCACAGGAAGGGACCACCACAGTGTTTCCACTAGAGCTACTACCACTAGGAATTGGGTCATACCTTTTTGTTAGGCCACAATTACATAGTTAAACCTCTCCTGCTTGTGTGATTTTTGGTGCTGTTTGTGCCACGGGGGATTACATGGCTAGACTTTGAAGCTGACTTCTTGATTTAGGGCACATTTGTCAGGCTTTGTTGTTGAGGCCTATTTAGATTTAAATGTTAAAAGTTACTAACCTTCTGTAACTGTATGTTGAACTATGGTTTAATGATGTGTTGATTTGATCACTGTGAGTTCCTCTCCATTTTCTTTCACATGTAGGTCTGGAATGTCCAAAGAGGAATCTTTACAACTCACTTCTGTGCAAAATAGCAGTGAAGATGAAAGCAGCTCTCTAGAAACATCTCTGAACCTACCTGGCCCATCTACCCAGTTTGAGAATAGCGCCCCAGCTAGTAATGAAACCCCTGTTGTGTTGGAAACTGAAGTTGTTGAAGAAACTGTGTGTAACATTGTGTGCAACATGGATCAGGTTTCATCCAAGGTTATGATGGGAGAAGGCGAACTAGAGGACATACTAATATCTGAAGAATCATTAATTCATGAGGAGATTGCTGAAGAGGTGGAAACGACCATTTGTGAGTGTCATGAAGATGTTGATAAAGATGAAGTAGAGCTCACTGAAGACATAACAAATCAGGACTCAAAGAATGAAGACAAAGAAGAGCCCACAGAGAATGTAGAATCGTGTGTCGTCATGGAGGATGAAGTGGTGCCTCATTCAGAATCTAAAACAGAGGAGGAAGTTAAAAGTGATAGTGAGCAAGGTGCCCCCTTGGAAGTAGTAAGTGATATAATTGATTGCAGATCACCGACTCCTTCTCTGTCCTCACATGGCTCACCCGGGGAACCAACTGAACAGGATGCACCACAAGTTGAAGATTTACATGCATCAGAGGATAATGGTGCTTTCAGTGCTACTGCTGATTCTGCATGCATTGAGGAGACTGTTGCTGTTGAGATGGAGTTAATCAGTGAGCCAGAGGAACAGTTTTCTGAAGCTGCATGTGTTTCTGAGACTTCCTTTTCTTCACAAAGTCCAGAAGGAGCATGTGTTAGTGTTGCTTCTCCTGGAGGTGACACACAGTCTGCTTCAGAGGAACCTTACACTCCTGCATCTGTTGAAGCTGCTTTCCTGTCCGAGGTGTCTAGTTTTGAAAATGCTGAGTCAGAAAGTCAACAAAAAACAACTGCAGAAAGTCCCCCCACCTCTGTAGCTTCAGATGTCTCACCACTTTCCACCTCTCCAGTGTTGTCAGAAGCATCTCCTCCCTCTGATCATCCACTAACACCTGAACCGTCTCCGGCATCTAACTTACCATTAACTTCTGAAGCCTCTCCTATGTCAGATGTACCTTTAATATCAGAAACATCTTCAGTATCTTCAGTAGCACTTGCTTCTGAAACCGGGCATACAAATTTACCTGCAACTTCAGATGCATCTTCTGTATATAGCCCCCCTCCAAATGACCACCTCTTGCTTCAGCAAACAAGTTCCCCAACTTCATCCGATGAATCTCGGTCACCCTCAAAAGATGAAACTGATGCTTACTCTGAGGCATCACAAGCAGACACCATTGGAACAGAGCAGGATAGCTCTGAAAACTTAAAATATAATTCAGAAACTCCAAATTCTGATACTTCTCTTTCAGAGGATGCTTTGAATCAAAAACATTATAAAAGTGAGGCAGACCAGGAGAAGCAAAGTGTCTCATCTGCAGCTGAACTGTCACCACCTGATACCATAACCATTAAAAACAGTTCAAGTCATTATAGGATCGTTGATAAAAAAAATGTATCTCCCTCTCAAGACGGGCTTGATGGGATCCATTCTAGGAACAATCAGTCTGTTCACACAAAGTCTCATGAAAAACCTTATAGTACCTCAGCAGAAGTGGTTGGATATTATGAATCTTCCAGAAGTAAATCGTATAAGCAGCAAGTTGGCTCTCAAAGCCGAGTAGACAGTTCTCATTGCAAGTCATATGAATATAATAAACAGTCTGAAACAATTAGTCGTGAACCTGAAATCTCCAAAAGAAAAACGGCAGAGTTGCATAGTTTTGGGAACTACAAAGAGAAAAGACCAAGAATAGATGATGACCACCCTAGATCATCCTCAAATTCCAGTCAATCTGACAGGGAGCATCCACCTAGGGAAGAGCCCCGCGTTCCACCTCTCAAGGTAAAATGCACGATTGTATACAAATGTTCTTTTCAGGATTTGAGTTTCTTAATTTAGGATCACAGGAAACATTGACGATTAAAAACAGAAACTGGTCGGGTACTTTTTTTTAATATTCAAACTTTAACTAGACAAATTAAAACTGAAACCTTACTGTTCATTGTGTTCCGCCCAAGCCATTTTATTTCAGGATAAAACTGTAGTCCTTGTGAGAGATTATCTTGCCTGTGATGCTAGTAATAGAATCATCTACCACCACCACTTCTCTGATCTTCACTGGAACTACAGAATGTAATATTTGTGTGTTAACATATATATTGTCTTCCAGACTTCCTTCCTCCATTTAATAGTGACCCTGCTTCCTTTACGTTCTCTTCACTACCAAGGTCATTTGTTTAAACTGTCCCAATTCAAATTTCCTGTTGGATAAAATAGGACCTTTAACACATGTTTTGTTTTGACTACTTGGAATCTGTCTACAAACAACACTCTCTATAGTCTCCATGGAGTCCTCTCCTTTTACTACCTGTGTTAGGGAAATGATCCATCAGTCATGGACAGAGACCTGCCTGGTTAGGGGCACTGATGGAGCAGCAGCCAGAAATCAGACCCTTAGTAACAGGGAAAATTTTAACTTTACCTAACTTTTAAAATGGATAACAGGTTAAAATTAGGTAAAAAATAAACTAGTACCTAATATGTTACTAGAGAAACTAGCCAGTCTATAGCTCTCACACATTTATGGAAGCTCCTGTCCGCTTCAAAAAAAACTTTAATTATAACATAGTTACATTAAATTTAAATGTTGATTATGTGTAAACCTTTTGAGCAGCATTTAACTAAATATCTGTGGTCAATTATTCACTTTGTTATTACCAGAATTATTCATTCTTACATTTTGTCTTTTAAAATTTTAATGTGTGTGTGTTTTATTTAGTATGGACTATTTAAAGGATAAAAAACACTACAAGGTCAAAGTGCTTTACATTGGGATACATTGAATTGGTTACTGTTCAATTGTTGTTTTAGCTATGATTCCTTATATTATACCTGTTGTTAAAGAATTTCACACTAACAAATATACTGAATGTACTAAAGGCATCAATTTTAGCAAATATCATGTTATTACCTAGTACTTATAAAGAACATTTAGTGATCTCTATTTAAGTAGAACTCAATGCAAACTGCCAAATTCAGTTAAATATCTGTATATTTGCTGTTTTAGCTTTCAAAATATTTGTAATTATGAACAACAAGTCCTGTAGTATAAACACATTTACTATATTTCAAAGCCAGGAGGAGCATTCTACTTTTCTTGTTCAGATGTATTGCTTCCTAAATCACCATCCTGTTAACTAGATAAAGGACATTATGCTTCTTCATTGGCCAGTGAACGAGCTGGAAGTGAAGAGGTGACATAGTATGCCATATTTCTGAACCAGGAAATACAGTTGTAGCCAAAACTTTTGAGAATGACACAAATAGAAATAAATGTAAATTTCAGAGTAAATATATGGTATATTTAAATGTTTGCTTAAATTTCCACCTAAAATGAACGTTTACTTTGCCATGATTAAGTAAAGTGACAGGTTCACTTGATAGCAGGGGCTATACAATGTGTATGCTTACTTCCCTGTGCTCCTTTACTGCCTTGACCCACTGTAACACACATTCACAGTGAGCCTAATTTACTAAAGAATGTTCACACAATTATTTCTGTGGAGTGAATGGCCGAATGGTGCATCTCCAAGGGCAGGTCCCCGTTTTTAAACCGCATTTTTTTCTTCTGTGCTGGTGCATGTCCCCTGGCATGTGCACCAACACAGCAACTGTGGTTGCACAGTCATTAGACAGTGACGATCATTAATAAAAAGGTACCGAGCCAATGAAAGTGACTTTGTACTATTTGAGCAATGACCGCAATCAAAAAATGTAAACAATGGCTGCGATTACCATCCAGCTCTCTTTTTCATCTCACATACCAATCTATTGTGGGGGGAATAAACTTGAGCTACTTCCTGATCGCCAGGCCGTGCTGTGCCAGCCAAAACAAATGCCTGTACAGCGAGTACCAGTGCCATCACATCCAGTACCATTGGCTGTACAGCGAGTACCAGTGCCATCCAGCATCACTGCCTGTGCAGTCAGTACTAGTGTCTGTACAGTCAGTTCTGGTGTGATCTTGTGCCAGTGCCCAAATTCATTTTGGCCTAAATGTATGAGGAAAGATTATTTATTTGATGTGGTTTATAACAGAAAGTAGGGGGAGTTTCTTTTTAAAAGATGTTGGCGTTTTTTCCTTTACATAGTAAATTAAAGACAACTGTTAAATACCACCAAAAGAATGAGTAATTGCCAGTTAAGCTATCACAGCACTGAAAAAATAACCTGGACAGCATGGTGGTATAACATGCTGGTCCTGCGCATAAATATTTATTGACGGCACACCAGAAAATATCTCACAGCACACTAGTGTGCCGCGGCACAGTGGTTGAAAAACACTGAAGTAGATAAACAGAGATTTTCACACATGATTGAAGTGAATCTTGACACAATTTATTATGTAAACATTCTCAAATCCTTTAGTAAATTGGAGCCAGTGTCTCACTGTCAGTGCTCAGATGGGCCAGTAGCAGGCCCATGTGCTGTCACATGTAGGAGAAAGCGTGCATTAGCCCTTGGTATTTTACATTATATGGAATTCAAATCTTTCTCAAGAATTTTCAGGGGCTTCAGTGGCAGTTTAGGGTTGTCAGGAGGCAGTGTAAAAATTATAGTCTCCTTGTAGATATGAAGCAAACCTGTCACTTTACCCAACCTGGTTAAGATTTCCCATCATTCTTGCTCAACTGCAATAGTATTTTACTAAAATATTTTAATTTTGCTATTATAGATCCAGTTATCGAAGAGTGGCCCACCATTCATCATTAAAAGTCAACCTGCTCCCAGGCTTGAATCCAAGATTTCTTCTAATACATCTGTCAGTGGAGGCAGAAACACTGGAGCTAGAACGCTTGCAGATATCAAGGCAAGAGCACAACAAGCCAGGGCACAGAGAGAGGCAGCTGCAGCAGCTGCTGTGGCTGCTGCTGCAAGTATTGTTTCTGGTGGTGTTGGAAGTCCTTCAGAAACCAGCAAGACTAGAACTTTGGCCCACATCAAAGAGCAGACAAAGGTGAAGCTGTTTAGTAAGCATCAGGTTAGAGCTGGTGCACAACAGTCTTGCAGAGATGGGAAGTCAAAAGAAGGTATTTCAGGAGCTGAAGCATCATCCCCTCCAGATGCAAAGGTTGAAGGGTCTACTGGTGTAATCATTATGAATCCTAACTGTAAATCTCCTAGTAGTAAGCCCAGCCTCCACCGAGAATTGACGTCCATGTTACAGAAATCTCTCAGCTCTTCAACATCATCAGAAACAGACTCTGATGTATCTTTGCACGGCTCTACTGAAAATATTCATGTGCCACATTCCAGTGACAAAGCTGTTACATCTACCTCCACTGAAGATTGCAGCGTGCCAATGAATTATAGCAAAAATATAGGTTCAGTGTCTGTTTGCACCTCTGCTGATGCCCCCTTTACAAATGCACTTGACATGTCTGTTGACAATGAAAACACTACATCCCCTGCCTGCAATCTTAATATGATAAAACCCATGAAGGAAAATGACATTCCTTTCATTACTGTTACACCAAAATGCACTGATGACAATAACAGTCATGCCTCCATAGTATCTGACTCTGTAGATGACAAGAGAGTGCCAGTATCAAACAATAATGTTCATCCTTACACCACTGTGCCAGTTTCATCCATTGGGAGTAGTTTGCCAAATCCTCATCTTACAAACTCTTTGAGTTCGCTAAGCTCATCAGTTGGCTCAAGCAGCAGACACTCTGATAAATTAGCTGCAGCCATATGTGAAGAAGACGTCTGCTCCTCTGTTCGAAGAATGTCAAACCATGTGGAAACCATGCTAGAGTCACAAGGTAGATCTTCAGTTCCATTGTATCCTAACAGCAGAAGAACGCTGAGTTCAGATCCTTCCCTTGCCAAATTGCATCTTGATAAGTTACACAATAGCTCATGTAGTAATTTAGCAGGTCTCAATAGCAAGACCTTGCCTTCTGGTTTAATGCAGACAAATCGATCTATCCCTTGCAAAGTGATTGTTGATCATTGTACAACTCCAAATTCAACTTATCCTTTCAGTACTGAAAATGTTGAAATCACAGATTCGCAGAGCAGAATTGGTAAAACAGATCTATCCATTCAAAGTAAGACATGTCCTCAAGTTTCTGTCATTAGTCGACAAGAGAATCTCATTAACGAAAGTGCTGAGCATTTGCTGAGCTCAAACATTGCTGCTAGGTTAAAGCAGGATGACAGAAACAAGCCGCCTGCTTCCACTAGCCTTTTGGAAACCTCCTACATGCAGCAAGAGAAGTTAAGTGACTTGGTTCCTTGCCAACAAAACTTTAATGAACAACTACACTCTACTTTATCTTACAAATGTGGAACAGACAATATGACGAACTCTGAGTATATTCCTAATAATAGAATATGTTGGAGTGATAAAGAACAAATGAACAATGACAAAGTAGTTATCAACCATTTAGGTAAACAAAAGCACATGGAGTACTGTGAGGAAAACATTGTGGATAATATAAAAAGTGAACCAGGAAGTTACTCACATGTTTCAAAAATACATACACGTTCCCCTGTTAACAGTATTTCCATCAAATCCGAAACTGTTGACTCCAGTAAATGCTTTGGGATGGAAACAGAAGTTTTTTCAGGGCACAACACTACACCCCAGACAGCTGACTTGGATTTAGGTTTGCCATCATCCAAAACCCCTATTGGCGTTTCAAGAGAAGAACCTTTGTCATTAACAACAGATGGTTTAAAAAGAGTAACAAATGCAGCAAACACGAGCTGTCGACTATCATCAGTCGAAGCAAACAATCCATTAGTAACACAGCTTCTTCAAGGCAACCTGCCTTTGGAAAAGGTTCTCCCTCAACCCAGACTTGGGGCAAAACTCGAAATAAGTCGCCTCCCTTTGCAGTCTACCTCTGTGTATAAAATTTCATCAGAGAGATTGACGTCTGAAAACTCCTCTTGCTCACCTACGCTTGACAGCAAAGGATACCCAATGGGTAGCCTCAACCCTTTGCAAATAAGGAAGCGTGAAAATCATCCTAAGAAAAGAATGGCTAGGACTATGGGTGAGCATGCACAGATTAAGTGCGAGTCTGGGAAGCTATCTATGGACGCTGATGCCAACTTGTCATCGTGCATGATGAGTTCTAATGTGAACTCTGTGGGCCAAGAGCAAGCATTTAAGCAAGAGTGGATGAACAAGCATGCAGTTACAGCTAGGATTGTTCATAGTCCAGAGATAAAGCAGCAGAAGCGGCCACTGCCTTCTTGTAGCTTCCAACAAAGTTTATTTAATGCTGATAAAAATGGCAGCTATCATGCAGAATCTAGTGCATTGCACAGGCAACATTATTATCAAATGTCCATGGCTCAGAGAGGATCAGGTCCTAATGTGTATGTGCCATCATCAGGTTCTGCAAAGGCCCAGAGTAGTAACAACGCTTTTGCTTTCTCTAGACAACCTGAGCAGAAGGTTTTGGCTGAGGCTAATGTACCATCCCTTCCTTTTAGAATGGGCAATGCCTATTCACCGAACGTTCACATTAAAGAAGGCGATGACCTAAGCAATGCCCCACAGACTCTGCAAAATAAATTTTTAGTCCATCCTTCCTTATCTAATTCAGAAGTCCCTTCTGATCAAAAGCAGCCAGCAGTTACTATGGAAACCACTAAAAGACTCAGTTGGCCTCAGCCTGCGAGCATCTGTAGCAATATAAAGTCAGAGCCCATCTCTTTTGAGGACGGGTTACACAACAGCTGTGAACTGACCATGAAACAATCTTCCTATGAGCAGAGTGAAGTCAAAGAACAGTTAAAAGCATTTGCCTTGAAAAATGCAGATTTTTCTTCCTATTTACTTTCTGAGCCACAAAAGCCTTTTTCTCAGCTTGCTGCACAGAAAACACAAACACAGCAGCTGCCGCAGCAGCAGCAGTGTGGGAGTTATCCAGCAATTCACTTTGGTAGCACAAGCTTCAAAAGAGCAGCATCTGCTATTGAAAAATCTATTGGAATTTTAGGGAACAATTCTAAGCCTGTTTCTGGACTCAGCAGTCAGAACACTCCCATTCCTGCACAAAAGTTTGCTGACAGCAGCAGTGCAGATGAACTGGAACTGAAGTGTTCTTGCAGGCTGAAAGCCATGATTGTGTGTAAAGGCTGTGGAGCCTTTTGTCACGATGACTGCATAGGCCCTTCAAAATTATGTGTAGCGTGTTTAGTTGTTCGATAGAGACTAAATCTAAGATGGAGTATCCCCTTTAAAGCCTACATGTCTATGCCAAGAGCAGTAACAAATCTCCATTTTTTTTATTCATGCCTTTCTGTTGCTTTTATCTGTTTAAACACCATTATCAGTGTTACAATTTATTCTAGGTTGTTCCAGAGAAGAAGAATATTTCTGCAAGAAAAAAAAATCAATCTGACCCCCCATCCCCCCTTTTCTAACTTATTATCTATTTGGATATTGAATTGTGTTATTAGCAGACTATATCATGTAAAGCATTTATGATGATTCAGTTAGATTTTTCATTGCAAAGTACGTGTTCACATTCATTTTGGAGACCACGAGCATCCAACACATCTCTAGTATGCCATTGTCATGATTGCTCTGATTATTCAGCTGATGGAAAATATCTTTGAGATATCTTGTTCTGCAAGCTATTTGCTCTCTCCCACATCAAGCATTATAGGTTGTGATTTTAATTAAGCCAGCTGTTCTGTCTATGTCCTAGGGAGAGTTTGTTTTATGCGTGTTGAGGATTAACAAACTCCACAGTTCGATTCTTAACAATATCAATTGCAATTGAGAGAGTAAACACTACTTAGTATTTGGCTCAGTATGCATTGCTTCAAAGGCATAAGAGTTTTACAGGCTGCTAGTAATAAGTGATAAAGGAGCACTGTCCTTAGCAGATACAATTTGTTTTGGCAGCTACTCATCCTTTGAATAAAAATACTAATGGTTAGGCTATAGTCCCATAGAATTTCCACCTTTCTGACAAATTACATTGACCAGATATTGTAAACAAGCAGTTTTGAACAGTATAGATACAATTTGTCCTGGATGTATCCATTTAGATTTACTAAAGGAATAGAGACTTGGCACTATTGGAAAGGGAAAGTTCACTTAGCTTGGTAAATAAGTTGATGCAGTGGTCACTTTAGCCATCCAATCCCGTGTAAAAGAAAATCATGTTTCTTTTTATTTCCCTTGTTACGCTGAGTGAATATTTACTTTGCAAAGTATACAGACTATTCTTTTAGTAAATCAACCCCATTGTGTGTAATGATAAATTATCAGAATGTTTGTAATACCAATAGAAAACTTGTAGGTATACCTATGGCTACAAATAATGCATGAGCATCTCACGCTTGGGGCAATGGGTTATTACCATATTGGCGTAAAATATGTGTAATAAATGCTGCTTACAAAGTTGAGAATTGTTTCCTGCTTTACAATATACAGATTGTTAGATCACTTTTCTTTACAAATGGTGATATTTGCCAACCACCTATTATGCAGTATCTATTCTGTTGACTTAATGGTGATCATTGAACACAACTGACTTTCTCAACTGCAATGGTAAACATAGCAAATGGTACTTTTCCCCTCAAGGTGAATTAAAAAGGTTGCTCCACAAATTTGTCTTTATTCAGCAAAGTTATGTCTGGAAACTAGTGCAGTAAATGATGCTGCTTCAAGTCCTTCACTCGTTACTGATTTTAAGTTGTTTGATTAATTAATGACCTTATATCCTGTGTCTTTACTCGGCTTTGTGTGAAGGTGAGGGAAAACTTACAGCTGGGCTATGGCATTATATAATGCACCCAAAACAGTACTTGTATCTTCGTTGTCATCCATTTTAAAATGAATTAGCTAAAATAATATTGGTCTTTGTGAGAAATGTGTGCATTTGTTAATTTCCTCCAGTATACAAGTGGTCCCATTGTTCTTTTTCAGTCTCTTTGCATTTCCTTTTTTTAGTAAGGTCCTACTGACAAGTCTTTCAAAAGACCTCATTCACATTTCTTACTGGGCACAAAGGAACCCGTTTTTCAGTGCATCAAAAGGCCTTCTTCCAAGGACATGCCTTTATTGCATTCTATGTGCAATGCTTCAGAAACATAGTACATAGAAACCCCAGAATCAAGAACCTAGTTGCCCACATCTTGTTGTAATATTTACTTGTGCACTTGAACTAAAAAATAATAATAATCTATACAAACAGCAGAACAAGAGACAATTAAAAAAGGAACTGCTAAATGAGGAAACAAAGTGTCTTCATGTATTGCTTCCAAGGGCCTTAGAGCTATTACAGACCATATCTACATAATACATTTATTAGTATTTTTGGCACTAAATTACCAAACGCAGACCTTGCATACAAGTTATTTATTGATACATAGCCCAGGACCCCATATGCTGCAGGAAAGTTTGTACTAATTTTATTCAAATGAACCAAATGGCCAGCCATAAAATAGTATTTATATATAGCATACAAGCATACTGGGCATATTCTTTCATTTTCTGTTTTAATCCCTTTTATTAATAACACACTAAAATGCCAACATTTTTCATTTGGATTTTTTTCCTCCAATTTGGATTTATGTAATATCACAAAATGTTTTAATGTGAAGTATTTTATACTGTCATAATACAACTCTCACCTCTTTAGGGTCTGTATCCATCCACATGTTCTGTACAGTGATAATCTGCAAACCAATATCCTATTCATAGTTAAGAAATGTTAAAACTAAACTGTTCTACTTATAGCAAGTTTCCTCTTTTTATTCAAGTTGCACAAAGCCCAGTTAATTAAGTGAATGTCCGACATTTCAACCATTTACTGGTACCCTAAAAAATGGTGTGTTACATGGATGAAAATGATAAATGCACAATACCTACTTTGGTTTATTTTTATAATTTCAGGTTTTGGTATAATTTAAAATTTCACACTTAGGACTACAGTTTGGTCTGATTTCTGATTGTCTATTATTACTTGAATTTACCAAGTTGCAATTTACTATGAATTGTCTTTCAAGGTCTGCCACTATTGTAAGCCTGCATGCATGTAGGCAGTATCAAGAAATAAAAATGATTCCGATTGTTTAGCATAATCCTATTACATCAGTTAAGCCAGGTGTGCAGTGATTTTGGGGTATACAACTATCTTCACCCAGGAAAAGATGCATTCATTACAGCCCAAGCTCAGGATGCTCATGAGTTAGTATAGACACGACTGATCTCCATCAGATATAAGTATACCTAAATAAGTAAGTATACCTCAGGGTTGTACACACTTAAGTAGATTTAGGATTATATAAGCAGACCCCTTCCACTCCTCAATTTAGGCAAGATGTTTAACGTAATGTAAATCCCCACTCCTTTGGTCAGTTTTTACATCTATTTTCCCTCTTTCTATTTCCTAATAAACCTCGTCTCAGTGGGACTATCTTAAAAAAAAAAAATACAGCTGATCACTCCATTTTTCTTTTACAGTGCCAAGAAATCCTGGTATCTGCAAGTGTCCATAACCTAACATTACTTGATATAGGCTTGGTTAAAACAAATTTTCACTGGGAGCAGACTTTTCTGTGGCTACCCATTGTCTTAAAGTAGTAAGGTCTGGGAGGTTTTTACGTTAATGCATTCTGTGCATTATTACGCTCGTCCCCGCCGCCGGTCCTGAAGCGATCCTCCATTCCCTCGAACTTCCTGCTTGCAGGGGGAGGACACTGATAACAGAGGAGCCATAGGCTCCTTCTGCCATCAGTCAAAGAGAGAGGGGCCATGGCCCGCCACAGGGCTGTGTGTGTCTATGGAGGCACACAGCCACTGCAGGCACGAGCGCGCACGGATGCCTCCATTAGAACGATGGTGGCACCCGTACGGGGGGCAGGGGAAGATTGCTGCAGGGACCCACTAGAAAACGAGGAATTAACTTTTAAAGAGAAACGGCAACAGCCTCAAGCAAAGGTGGGTCTCCTTGTAAGAAATATTTTTTAAAAAGGAGGCTTTAATATCACTTTAAGACTTGAGGTCAATTCATACAATCTATTGCTGCAAAAAATAGTATCTATTTTATCTACCAAAAAAATGGTTTTGCATGCAGTAGTGCCAGAGAATATCCAATTGATGCTTTCGTGCACTGAATTTAGTATTGATTAGAACTGTTTGATCATCTTAAATTGGAAACGTGACATGCAAATAGTGCAACCAATGGAAGATTGACAAATATATTTATATCTTTGGATTACTTTTTCTGGCATTATCTGTCTTTATTAGATTAGCAAATGTTTGATTCAACCTCAACCATTTTTAAGCTTGTGTGTAGCCTTTTCCTTCAGTACTGCAAAGGAGATTTGGAGTCATGCTAGTAATAAATAGCAGAGTTAACTACTGATATAAGGTTTTATTTGGAAAAAAACATGGCAAATGGAAAGTGACAATGCCTGCATATCTTAGATCTTTGAAGAGCTGTCAGTAAAGTGCTATGGTACTATCTTTTTTAGAATGTATGGACAAACGGAGGTGCAGGTGAATCACCGTCTGCTAGAAAATATCTTCTCCATTTACCTGTTTAAAGCTAAATAATTATGAAATAGGCTTCCATCATGCTTGTAAATTTTAAATCACCTTTTTAACCCAACTAACCCTTTTTTAATCTAATTTTTTTAATTCCCATTTCTGTCACTGTTTTCATTTTTAGCTGCATTTGTAAATAAGGACTTTAAATTATGGGAAACAGCCAGGAATATTTTTTCCTTAGCCAGTGAAATCTGTATCAAAAATAGATTATGCTGGATTGTCAACTTAGGCAATGTATGGTAAAAGAGAGAAAACTAAAAGCAAGTTTAGAAATGGGTGAAACTGTTCTAAATGTTTCCCATGGAAAAAACAATTTTGACCTTTTATAAGTAAGCCCTGTATTGTGTTTAGTTGAAGTACAAACACTAATGTATCCATATGAGTCAGCATATGAATACTTCTCAGAAATTTCAGTTCAATGGGAAACACTTTATGTACTATTGTGCAATGCTGACATCATGTGGTCATGCTGAATTGTGATATACACAACAATCCCCAAGAAATACTGTCTATTGTACAAAATTGTACCTTGCCATGGTACATTGTCACAGCACAGTGATGTGAGCCAAATAACTCATAGTATGCAGTGTCATTATATAACAAATGAGAATTAGCTTCTTTTTTTTTTTTCTTATTGTATTATGCAAATAGCAATTGTGTGCAGTAACTGAAAGCAGCAAG